ACGTTTCACACCCCAAGTGGCCTTTAGTGTGGGGTTATATAGATTCAACACACAGTAGGGACGAGGCGCAACTGCCTCGCTTCAAGCCCCGTAGTAACGGTGTCCTACATCCGGCATGCCAAAAATTGGGTCACATTTTAATCCTTCGCCCAGGATGATACTTCGTACCCCTTCTGATTTCCCCGCATTGACGTCCTGTATTTCTTTGATTCCTAACATGCAGAGTCGGGCAGAATATGATTGACAGGTCTTTTATGTATGGTAATGTGAGGGATGTCATGCATGTTGTACATATAATTGAGAGTATGCTGGTGTGTAGTAACAGCGCCATCATGCGGCGGCAGGGGCATTCCTCATGTTTGCCGTCGCCTCCGTTGTTGGCCTGTCTGCTATTGAAACTAAATAGGTAAATTTCACTCTTCTTGGGCTTGTAAATTTTTTGTAAATCATCGATTGGGTTTCCAGGGGAGTGGAGAAATTGTTAGATATCGTGGGAAGGGTGTAAATACATTATTTTATGGGTAAATTGGGCAAATGGTTTTGTTACTTTCGAGCGGTAAAATAATGGCGGCCTCATAGCAGTGTGCTCAGACAAGTCTGGTTTGCATACACATGTATATACATATATCGGTATCGGCGTCCATGGTGCCGAGACCAAAACTTTGAGTAGGATCTATGGTGGAGTAATCATGTGGGTTATGTAGTTTAGATCATTTGATTGAAGGAAGTCACTGGTTTCGCATAAGTGTACATTACTTGCATGTACATGTATGTATGTATGTATGTATGTATGTATGTATGTATGTATGTATGTATGTATGTATGTATGTATGTATGTAAATAGAGCAATAACACCAGCAGAGATCCGAGCCCAGGGTGTTCTGGTGTGTCTGCTCATGCGCACCCCCACCAGATAGCGCCCCTCCAACAGTAAGAAAGGAGGAGCACACTATCGGAAAAACCCTAACCCCTTAACCCTAACTTTAGAGGTAATTTAGGCCACAAGGGTTATGCAGCTAGAACATGCGTTTTACACGTACTACAGGCTACTGATCATTTTCTGATAGGTCAAAAAGGGACTTTTCCCGAAGGGTACTTTGTCTTTGGGGGCAAATCCCCATGCCTTTTGTACACACTTTATATTTTCTACATGAACCTGGGCACATGATAATCTCTTATAACAACTGAACAAATAAACTTGAGACGTCATACATCAATGTAAACGATCACAAGCAGACACCCCTCCATTCGTATAAATTTGGTTCCCATTGGGGTCGCGGTTCAACAGTTATAGCCGATTTAAGTCTTCCACATAGGTTGTGTAAACGATAGAGAAGCGACAGGACCACAAGGAAGAAATGCCCCTCCTGCTGTATTACCTGTACCCATATACATGTACATGTAATTGGTGCATTACACATCACTTGACTTAGGACTAATACTCACCAGAACCTTAACTGATTGAGCCGACCACTTCGTGCTGACTCCTGTGGTGTGATGGGGCCGCAGGAGGAATAACGGCCGAAGTACGGGCTACCAGCCAATATGCTCCTCCACTGACTACGGATAAAAATGTGGTTGTGGTCGCAATCGCCCCCGGTCGTAAATGCTGCGGAATGTGCAGGCTGACTCTATACTCCCGCTCAGATGTGGACCGGACCAGTGGGCTGATGACTAGGTAATTGCAGACTGTGTACTTGTGTGATGGACAGCATCCCGGCACGTTGACTTGTTATCCCCGCGACATCTATATGCAGCCTGACACGGTATGCCCTAGTATGGTTGAACTACACCCACCAAGTCCGCGCCCATATAAAACAAAATCAGACCGAAAGTGCGCCGCCTGTCGACTCTCGGGAAAAGGTTTGCCCCTGTTTCTTTTTACCGGAAATTCAAGATCAGGGCCATAAGATCACTTTTCGTTTCAATTTTACAGGGGGTTAGCCACGATTTTTTTTATTCGCTTTTCCCCGAAGGTATCCGAAAATAGTTGTAAAACTATGCGCTCAGCTCTGAATGTAGCCGCCCGCCTCTGTCCAAAATAGGTCGGCAATTTGGGGCTTTTTGTGAAAGAAACGCCCTGAACTAGCGACTGTCAGTCGCAAATTCGGGATTCATAGGAATATTTCTATGATCCCTCCTGATTATGACATGTTTTATTGTAAAAACCATGTGGGATCACAAAATATTAATGACCTCGCGCGTAGAAATCCAACGATATGGTGACATGCAGATATGGTGTTCTATTCACGCCACATTACACTGCCCGGTGAGCCTGGAGTTGTTCGCCACTGCGCGACTGTTTCACTGAGCGGTGAGAGTTGTTTAGCAGTGGCGCAGTAAAAGTTGCACAGCACTTATAATACGGGCTCATAGCGCAAACTCCAAGAGAAATTGCCCCATCTGGTGATGCCCAGGAAGATTGTATGACCTCGTTGTTTTAATGGAAATGTAAAGCTATGGGCACTGGGGCAATTTATTTTTCAATATTTTTATAGAGAGAAAGAAAAAAATATAAAGAATCGGGGTAGGCAGTGCCATATGAATCTAAAAATTTACCTCTTTTCTTCAGTCCACAAAATAGTTTCGTTACATTTAATGTGTGTGACTGGAAATACACTGAGTCACCAGATTGTGATGTAGTTGAGATTTACGGAAATGTGATGTCAATTTCTGACGATATTTCTCTTAAGGTCAACCAACTTTTCAGTTTGTCTAATATGCTAGTAAAATGTTTTACAAAACAATTTCTGAGGTGATTTTTAAAGAAGTGAATGAAAGAAAAAAATTCCATGTTCTACAATAAAAATTTTAATAATTTTTTTCTCGCCTATTTTCCACGGATTCCAGACACGGTAATTGTCAGAGGTCAACTTTTAGGCTTTAAAATAGACTTGGACCTCTTGTGATCATTCCCAACTTTGAAAAAGCACAAACATTGAAGCCTACCATCAGATCAGGAAACAACACTCACCGCGTAGCCAAACAACTTTCACTGCGTGGTGGAACAACCCTCGTCGAGCAGTGAAATCCAAGCACAGACATATAACGCCATTCAAGTGTGAACGTTAACGCATACGCGCAGGCACAGTGTGTGCGGCTCCAGCGCCTGTGTAAGTTATCATTCACTGCGCAGGAGCAGTCCAACATAAAGGCGCCCATGCGATGTTTCACACAAATTCGCGGTCTGCACAGTGAAACAACACCCATAGCACAGTGGTGATGCAACTCTCATTGCGTGATGAAATAACTCTCATCGAGCAGTGAAACTACCCTTGCCGCACAGCTGGGATTAGACACAGGACCATCACTGTTTGGAACAAAGTAAAAGACACGCCAATAACAGATGGGAGTGTGACTCGGTTGGGACTCGAACCCAATGCAGACGTCTTATAACCACTCGACCAACGAGCTTGCTGGGGTCAACAAGCAGGTCTGAGGCGGTGTAGCAGGGGTACTGCAAACTATTTACAAAATGTACTTTGCGTTGGGGAGATGTTAATTTATATCATGGGTTTTTAATGTTGGGTAAGGGCAAAACCCGTAAAATAAATTAGAATTATACACACAATTCATATCGGTTATTAGTCTACAATAATTATAAATTGTACCGGCCTGCAAAGAGTGCCGACAAAATAATCTGCTGCCGAGAACCAGGTATAGCAACAATATCTTTAGTCTGGGTAATTTAAATTTTGGTTATCTGGGATAAGATAACTCAGTGTACCAGATTTTACTTATAAATGCCTAGTAGACTGAGACTTCGTTGTCAGCGCACTTGGGCTGGCCGCACATGCCGTTATGCCTGAGTAACTCTATTCAATCAACAGATACCTGTGTGCTCAATCTACATTATTCGCTCACTGTTGCATGGTATAGCGCCTCCAAGCGGCGCCATGATTTACGTGTGTACTCTTCAAGCGATAAGTTCGCTTGTCGCCCATAATGGACCGTATTCGCGGAGTCCCCAATTTCAGTAGTATTCCCAACGTTGTGTATTTATTTCAAACGTTAAACTTAAAGAACCAGACTATATTCTACGATTTCATTCCGACCCGTACCCCCCCCCCATATCACCTGGTACCATCCCATTACGGGTTTCAAATTTAAACTGTACGTTCAGGAATACGACTGATTGGGGACGCTGTAAATACGGTCTATCTATTGGCTACATTATGCAAGACAGTGACCGCGAGGCTATAACTTCCTGTTAGCAAAGCGTTATTTAAATTTTGGTTCTCCAATGGCAACGCTTTGTCTGCTATATGATAAAAAAATATGGCCTTGCTACAATCACAGTACGCCGAATCACATATCACGTCTCTTTTGGTGGTATACCGTTTAAATCATCGGTTATCTTGATTATTTTGGGATCATGTGTAGTGTAATGAGAATATTTTGTGCCCGATAACAAAGACTTGCCTTCAATTTATCCCACAAACATACCTCGATCAATTTTCTCTCTAAATAGCTATAAAGTCAGTTCACGTTCAACTGTACAATTACAAATCAGTTTAAAATTACTGATGCTTCAAAATTTGAAAATTTCTTCTCATTTCTCAGTCATTAAACAATATTTACGTGAGTGATTTGGGGTTTAAAATTTTGGTAACTGCTTTAACTGTTCTGTTACGACAGAGCAGACAGATGACGTCCTAATAATACAAGCGATTCAAAATAGTGCGCCACCAAAGGTTTGCAACGCGTTGACCAATCACAACGCGCGAAATCTGCCAACCCTTTCCAAAGATGCATTCGGTCGACAGATTTTGCGCATTGTGATGGCCAACGCGTTGCAAACTTTGGTTGTGCAATATCCGATCCGAGCGGAACAAAAGATGGCTTTTTGGTAATCACCGCATAGGAACGCCATGAGGCGCGCAAGTATATACGCGTTTGACGCGGAGCGCGCTGAGTACGCGTAACTAATTTTTTCCGGTATGTATGGTCTTTGCACACACCTAGAACGCGCGCAAGAACCCGCTTGTAACTACCTGTCTTTCTTTTGCCGACTGGGGGTGCACTTCAGCTCGGGGCGGATTGTGAAATGTTATCAAGTCAATCAGATTTGTTTTTCACCGATATGCTGATGTCTTTATTGTTCTTCATCTAGCTTCCAGGCAGCGAATCTTATGTTCGGTGGCGCAAGGTAGGGTCCATCAGATGACTGTGTTACAACCATATCTGGAGAAAAGAAAAGACACGAAAATTTCTTCACGAGGTCAGATTCTTCTTCCAATAATCGCTGTTTAGTTTATGCCAAGGGTATTGTGCTGAGGGACATTGCTCCTTACGTGTAGTTGTATGAGTTGTCGTTTTGGTTTGTATCTTGAGTGTGGCTAGTTGTTGTCCTTGTGGTTCTGATGTAGAGCAAGTAGATGACACATTTACACGGGTCTTCTTCCCCCAAGCGCCTTTCTGAAAGATAAAGACAACAAAGCACGCATTTCATTTGCAGAGACAAATTTGGTATGTTGAAGTCCAAACAAAGCTTTTACAGGTCATTGGAAACTGAATTTTCAGGCGCAACCAAATAAACAATTTGTTTTTGCAAGTTTTCAGTCAACGTACCAACGGATAGCCGTAGTTCTCTGCAGTAGAACCCTTTGAGATGCCGTCTCCACGTGTGAGGGCGCGCTTTTCTCTGCTTCGCTGAACTGCATTTCGAACCTGTTTTTAATTGTGGACATGATTAAGTTCTCATAAGAGAACATTCTCGCTGTTAGGGTCCATTACGAAATTATAATTAATTGAAAATACTCAAAGACTTTCTGTGTATCAATAATAACATGAAAAATCTACAATTAAAAGATAAAGAAATAAAAATTTCGATCTTAGTTTCTCGTGCAAATTGTTGATGTTACCTCAGCATTAAAGGCGCAGTATATCAGGAATATGAATACCCCCTGCAAAGAAAGAAATTTTAACATGGATATTAATTACAGCTGATTGACAGGTTCCACAAGCAGAAATAGTCCAAGGTCCCTGGCGCCTCGAAACGTACTTTCATCGAAAGCTATATGGAAAAGTGTCCAGCCTCATAATAATTTCAGGCAGTCATTTGAAAGAACCGCAATCGGCGATCGTCTTAAGTTACGGGGGCGATTCTGTAAGCAAAATTGTTATTTTGCAAAATCTTCAAGTAAACTATTCCAGAGAAGTATGGAAATATTATCAGAATTGATTTCAAAATAGTACTCTTTGTTTGGCATGTAATTTTCATTAATCCGTCTTGCAAATTAGAAATGTGCTCTGAACTTACAAAATCATATATAAGATGAGACAGGGACACGTAAAATAGGGACCCCTAATTTCTGAAATTACCCATATACACTTGAATGTAAAATCAAAGAAAAGGTAAATTTGGACCATACAAAGGCAAACCTAATAAATGAAATAAAAAGTGCTTCCTTCGACCCTGTCAAAGGCTGAAAATGATTTTGTTTCAACAAACATCCATGCTCTATATTCCCAAGTATAAAGGATTTTAATTTCAAACGAGACCTTTTTTACCTGCAAGGCGTTGAAGATAACGAAGAGGTATTGAAAGACGATAGTGCTCGGACTCACTGGTAGCACACCAAAAACCCACGTCAAACCAAGAATGGGTAAAAGAAACAACGATCCTTTCACCCCTGCTCTGCAACACAAAATGATCAGTAACTTACACACCAACAAACGAGTGGCTTGGAAATACATAATAAGCCATACCCGAAAAGCTAAATTGACCAATTAGACAGTTTGAAAAACAAAGAGCTAACTTGTTTGAATAATTGGCTTTTCGTGTCAGTTTTCAGTACTGAATGGCTATACAAGAATAGCTAAACTGGATAAATAATTCAAAAGAGAGAATCTACGAATGAAATACTTGATGTGATCATATTCCTTGTCCTTGTTGGCCGCAGCTGAGGTGACAATAATGCGTACAACCAGTCCAAGAACCACTGCATTTACCTGTAACCAGTATAAAAAAAGTCAAGTCTCTTTTTGCATGATCAAAATGCATGTTTAAAAAAAAATATGGATCACAATCGCAGGTACTCTAATCATGGCCGTTCTAATAAACTCAGGTGTTCGACATTAATTTTACATATAACATCCCTACGACCAACTATGCTAAGACATCACGGTAGATATCCCCAGTCTAACAAGGTTGCGATAATCAAAAACTTCAAATTCAGTTTTAACTTTGCTAACAAAAGAGTTGAGATACATCCTTACCAAAATGATGGCCAAAGCAGGTCCAACGAATGCCCAAATAACATTGTTCTCTGTCGATAACCAACAGCTGAATCCAAACAAGACATATAGACATGATAAATAAGTAAGCTTAAAACGTACGTTAAATTGTTAAGCCCGTTTACTCATAAAATCACAAAATTAGCAGAATACCTGTCTGGATTGATGTAATCGTCCCACCGGGATGCTGCAGTAATGATAACAATCACGCAAGGTGTACCTGAACAGAAAAACAAGTCACTCAAATAACGCAATTGTGCAAATCTGACCCAAAACTTAAAACAACCCACTCGGGGTGAACGTTCTGGGTTTTTAATACATGTTCTTCTGTTAGTTGGATCAAGGTATATTTCATGAAATTAATTATGGAAATTCGGAAATACAATAAACCAAGAAACCTTCCAGATTATCTTACCCCATCCAATTACCATATATGGCTTTCTTCTGTCCATTCCACTGGAGAAAACGCGCACAATCTGAAAATAAAGATGAACGCCCTCAACAAGCATCCAGCAAAACACAGCCAGGAAGAAATAATGCATCAAGAGGGTGACGATGCGGCAAGCAATCTGTGGGGGTAAAAATAATAATAATAAATCTCCTAAAATCAGCAGTAATTTTTGTTGCCATGGAATGTTTTTGACATCAATGACACCTAAAAAGAATTTCAAATAAGTCCTATGATAACATCTTTCCTGTGAAAAGATGATGTTAGTTTGGTTTGGTCGATGCTACCTAAGGTCATACGCACTTATTACGATATGCGGTTCTTTCCATTCGCCATTACAATCTTGAACGAACTGAGACACTTACTATAACCACTCACCTCGTGTTTTGAAGCTGTATTAGACACTAGCAGAAGAAAGTGAGCCAAAATTAGTGCAACCGAAAGGTTTGTGTGGATGGTGACACGATCTGATTTCAGCAAAGACCTATCAATAAATAACACGACAGCATTGACTGAAATCAGATAATGAGTGAGTTTGAAAGCTAAGCAAATATGGAACATCTCTCCACATTATATTTGTGTCACAATAACCTCAAAGAATGGCCTGTTAATTAACTTACCTCAAAGCCATGAACACCGCAAGTGTGGTCATAAGACCCATGATTGATAGGCCACATAGAAGATAAGTTAGAATTTCCAAGGCTTTTGCGTCCCCATCCGAAATCTGTGAATATTAGCATTTGAAATCAAGTAAATTTTTTTGGGTGGTAAAGGTGCCTTCCTAAGGCAATGAAATCCCATCAAAGGCAATAAAACGAGAAAAACATGCAGCCACCTTGAAATCCCGAAGTTGCATGAGTACTGCGAAGCTCGTTGTGTGATTACACTGGCAAATGATGGAAAACCGCGTGTCTTTGGTCTTGTCGGCAAAACATCCAAGAGTGTTCCATTGAACAGTGCTGAAGCAATGAAAAAACGAACTCTAACAAAGCTCTGTTCAGGAAATCAGATTCTTCATTGTTAACAATACGACCAAACCACTGTCCATGGAGTAAAGGTGATTGATGTTTGACAAAGTTCTACTGCCGGTACGTCTAGAATTTCATTTTCATTATGAAGACAATACATATACCTTTTATCTTCATCCAGAAATACGCACAAAGGTTCCTCGTTGGATTTTCGTTCCTAATTTAGAAAACAAGAAACTGTCTGTTTTATTGTGCACAAAACATAAACATTACAAGAAAACATCCGAGGAAAATTTCTAAACAAATTCGAACTCCTTTTCTGCCAAATCTTGTACGTCTCGCCAGAGGTAAATAACTCTTTTTCCAAGTGATGTTGGTATACTGTTCCAGCACAAGATCATTAAATTCATGGTTGGTTTCAGTAAATGTTGTCGGCAGCAAAATTTCAAAGATAAATTTGCTAAATTTGCTATTACCCCGCGGTAATCTAATCTTTATTCCTCTTCCCTTATTATATGTAGACACTGCATTTTTGGAAGAACTTATATCTCATACCTGAAGTAATGGATTGGTGAGCAATTCGTTGTTATAATAGTACTTGCGACATGTGATATGTTATGGGAAGCTTTTATATCATTGGTTTTTACTTGTGACGTACTTGTGTTAAGTATGATATTTCAGTAGAGAATAGTACAACTTCAGTAACGTATCAATCGTGTTAATTATGCATGTAATCGTTTCATGACGTATACATTTGTAAACAGTCCCACTATACCCAGGTTTCGTATTTGTGGTATAATTTCAAATAAATAAATTTTAAATCTAACAAACTAACGAATACCTGCAGAAGCTTCATTTGTAATGTGACCGGAACGGAAACAATTTCTCCATCAACTTGAAGTGAATGAACAATGACTTGACTTGCAGGTTCCTTCATTGAATATCTGTACGATTAGTAAGTTCAAATATCAAGACAGAAATTAGCAAAACAAACTGCTCACCAATCTTATGACATTCCCAGAAGAGAACAATTTTAAAATCGTCAAAAATCAGGAGGAAATCTCTTTTCTACTGTCATTCTACGCGTAAAATATAAATTACAAAATTTTAGTATCTGTTATAGTTTTTCTAGTTCTCCTTCTTTTAAGGATATAAGCTGACATGGTTACCTTTCGTGGATGAGGTTTCCTTTCCTTGCTATCAACGTTGTGAAGGCAAGGTCATTATTTTCTGTGAAATATATAATTCATACTTAAAGAGGTTCAGCGTTCTTCAATGTATTTGAAATACCCCAGTCAATTTGGACAATTTTTAGATGTTGGTTCACGAATTAATATAGAGCTGAGGGGAATTTTTAATTTAAACAAATTTCATGATGTTCACAGTCGATCTTCTACAAAAATAATTGATAAAAGGGATCGTTCATTTCTTTTTATACATCAAAATCTACAAATTATAATTAAAACAACAAATCTCTTACAGATATATAGACAAACATTTCATCCATACAGTGATCAAACATTATTCAATTAACGTTTTCCATTTCCCACTTACCGGTGACATTCAAGCTGTCGATTGTTTCTTTCTTGACAGTTATTGTCGTGCTTGGATTTTTTTCATTAAACTGTGACTTGAAACAATATTCACTTACATTAGTTGACTTCAAGACTTCAAATTCTGTAAACAATGTACAAATCAATCAAATTTACTGCTTCACAAAAAAGAGAAAAGCTTAAAGGTTGCTTAGAACAGCATTCAGCTGAGGCATAATCTAATCCGCTTTCAGAAACAACACAGAGGTTCAAAGTTAAGGTTGTTTTCTTACCCAAATTACGAACTTTCCTGACGTGACGAAACTCGGAGGGTGCGCTTCTTGCCAGATTTGTTAGTACGTTCTGGGAATATATGACTAGATTGGTTGCAAAGATCGGTACCTAACAGGAAAAAACAGACCATTGCTAATTGGTAATTGGTTTAGACCTGCAGGAAAGATCTTGATGCTTCAGCCGCTAAAGCTATTAAAGGTACCCAAAATGAACACTTGTATAACAACGGCAGATTTAATATGGTTAGTCGACAAACAGTAAAGTGCACTTCAATTTCATGCAAGTAAAATGATGTTCACGGTTGAACGTGTTCAGAATTCCCCTATTGCTCTGTGATGAACGCAACTAGGATACGCTGTAAGTCAATGAAATACTTCACTTACTGCGTTAGGTCGGTTCCACGTATTCACAAATCGGTCATCTAACAAGTTATCGACCGTCTCCATGTAGGACTAAAAAGGAAAAAAAGGTTTTAATCTCTATCTTTTGCTCTTGATAGTTTTACTGAAATTAATCGTTTCTGTGGTTGCTGCCGCCATGTTTTCATGTCATTGGAAAGAACGTACTTCAACATAGCCTGTAGCATTTGTAGAACTGTTTGGAATGACGTCATGGTCCGCCAACCACGTCATTAGTGCCAGCAGATCAGTAAGTAGCAATTGTTCTTCAGAGGAGTGAATCTTGACATCATCGACTGTAGTACTGTCTGGTAAACACTCGAACTGAGGAGAGAAGAAATCCTAGTTTTACTTAGAAAGAAAAAACTATTAAATGCAGGAAGAGCAGTTGCGTTTACATTCATACTAACTTCGAGGTCATTTCCGCCTGTTCATTACAAGAAATATTTTCCAATTCAACAACGAAATGATATTTAAATTTTTACAAAATATAACTATGAGGGCCAATAATCTATGGAGAAGGGGGTTTAACTTTCGCGACTTTTTGAGCCAATTCGTTGTTTCAAAAAACAAGGTCATTCGGGAACAAAACGCGCACTCGAGTCTGCCAAAGGCCGCGCTGATTATAGGCTGGCATCGATCGCCTGAGTTAGAAGCGCTGTTTTAATAGCGAACTGGCTCATTCTGGATGAAACTATAATTAAAAAATGATCGCTAAGGCAACATGCATGTAACTTTAAGAGAGCATGTTATTACAGATCTTCTTTCACCATACGTGTAACCGCTTCTTGTGAATTTACCTCGATATGGTCCAAATTGCAGCGCGATGCAGGTTGCCTTGTTGTTGGAAAATCTGAAAGGCGTAAACATGAATCTTGGAAACATTAATCTGAAGATTCTAGAAATAAATCTTACACTAGTGACTTGTGTATCGTTTCGACCATCTCAGGTTTTCACTCAGACATCTGAATGTTTTCTAGAAATTGATTGTAATTAACAGTTTTCTTCTCACACTTGGTTGTGGTCAGAGATTCCGAAGGTGCAACGGTTGCTGGAGACGTTGAGGGTAGCGAATAGTTTAATAATTTAGTCAGGGGTAGTGTAGCGTTCGAAAGCTGTTCCGTTGGTGCAGGAAACCCGGATGTAACTTCAGTTGCTCGTAGACTTGTTGAAACTCCATCGGTTGTTTGCGCGTCAGTCAAAGGAGAGGAAGTTGGTAGCGCTGTACTTGTTATCACAGTTGTGGGGGGCTGAGTTGATGACTGAGAAGTCGTAGCTCTTTGTTCGGTGGTGATTGAAGAAGATGTAACCAATGGTAAAGACGTTTGCACTGCTGTTGTTGACTCGACTAATGCGCAAATTGATGACGCATGAGAGAAACAATGCATCAACACACAATAGATTATCCCAGAATAGCCACAAAACAAATCAAAACAAATAATATTCTCTCCAGAATTCATCGAAATGAAAGCTGTTTGGCAAGACACTTTCCAAGAAATATTTACAGATTTTAAACAGTAATACTCAACATCAGTGACACGACACAGACAACATTCAAACGCGCATTGCACGACATTTTGCCGCTTGACGCTGCAGTGTAAGTGATCTAAGCGCAATCGCACTTCGCTAATGGGCATGGAGAAAGTTGCAAAATGAGTAGAAACAGGTAAAATCAGTATTACAGCCAGTGTTGCAGTGATAAAAACAAGTGATTAAAACACACGGTTTTACTTGGTAATGTCTGCCCTTTGTTATTCGTCCGTCAGTCTAATTATCCTAAACTTAAAGTATTGTTCCCTCCCAAGTCAATTCTTGCTTGACGTTCACCTTCGATTCCTCGATCGTTCGATTCATTACCGAGTTGATCACATCTATAAACTTAAAAAAAAAATTCAAATATCAATATATCACCCAGTTGGTTTGTTCATTGGAAAATGTCCAACTGTACATGTAAATAATATAAATGTGAGTATTGATGATAGAGCAAACATCATCTTGATCTAATTTCTACGTTTTCCTGAGACCAAATCGAGAGAAGCATACAGAGCTTTCATTGCCCCTTAGCGTAGCACACTTAAGACATACATGTATCATCTGTTTGATCACACCCACCATAATCAAGAAATCTAAATCTGATAATGATTGTTTCCAGTCAACATAATATTTGCAATTTCTACTACTGTGGTCCAAATAAATTAGTTTCACAATGAAAAATAATTTGAAAATGGACAGGCAGGTATGTTTTCTAAGGAAACAAATTTGTCAACAAAGTTGTCTTTTTAAATGGCTTCCATAATATTGCGCATACTTGTCAACATTTCTTAATAATTTCCAAAGACCACAATAGATTATAGGCAACGATATAAGCAGTGGTGATTTGGATCGGAAGAAACTTTATTCAACATAATTCCTCACCTATAAACCGTCCGGCAAAACAGCGTCCACCGCCCGTTGGTTTACTCTAATCCCATTGTCCTATGTTTCAAAAGAATACGTAATGATCTGACGTCGTGGTTGGTGCACAGCAAGCGCTATTTTGACCGTATCTTTCATCAATGTTGTCCCACAAAGTATTCCTGAGATTTCCCTCTAGTCGTTGCTTGGCATCATTGCCTGGTCTGAGGCCTGCGGCGCGTCCACTTTTCAATGACGAGATTCTGCCTATTTCCTCCAATCACTATCCACCAATTTCTCGCATGACTCACGTGCTTTCGTTTATACGATAATGAAACCATAGTAGCAAGAGTGTTGGGCCTGTAATTGACTTGCAAAGTCAGTTAAAAATTATACAAGCCTTTGGTCAGATTCAAACGTTTAGAGGAAATTAACTAGAAGCAGTACTGAATGGAACAAAGCAATCACGGCATGAGAATAAAATTTACAAAGGCGAGAATTTTGCCGATGAGACAGGTGTAATTATCCAAGGTGCTCTTCAGTGAACTTATCCCGAGAGACAAGGATGAAAATTTGAAAGTTGATCTGAGGAATCGGCACATTTCCGCTTGCTTCCAGAACTTCAAGAAATAATTGCCGAAGGTTAGGAGCGGTGGTTAATTTAATTGTAATTGCTCTGGATCGATTCAAAGCGAGCCCGACTCCTTTGCTTCCTAGAAACAGGCACATAATGCATAAAACAAAAATCCAAGATTTCATGCAAGGCGACTCTGTAAGGATCAGAAGATGTCATTTGTAGAAGTGAGCAAAGACCAGCCATATTTTGCCACGACAAATGCAGATATAAAACGATTAAACCTGTACAATGTTCATCGTCATTGTTTTATCAAAAAAACTGAGCATGATAAACGAAAATTGAATATAATATCCATGCACTGTTAAGAGTGGCGTACAATATCGAGTATTCTTGTCTCAGACAGATTACTGATTAGCTTAATGTTTGCCTTCGGTCTATCAAGTATGTGAAATGGAGAATACTCGAGAGAAAAAAAACCGGAGGAAAAAGCTGGATTCATCTGTCTTCAGTGTATTGCCAACCATGGAATTCTTTTCTGCACTCATCTATTTCTAATATTTCACTTTGTTTTATGCTGAAGCGGTGTTGTTTGCACCACGTTCTGTCGCTCCTCTCCTTTCGATTCTGTTGCAAATTTAATTTAGGTGAGTAAATATTGGCATGGTGAGAGTGGGTTCGTGCCAGCCATTTGTCATGCCAACACTGGCATGTATAAGAAATGGTTGGCCAATGCATAAATCGGGGAACTTTACAACAAAGCTACAGAGGGCGAGAATGACGGAGCCATATGTGACTGTTTCTTTAATTCTGTCCGTTGAAAATGAGATTGAGCACTATGAACAGAAATTCCTTTGAAGTCAAGTAAGTCACGTGCTACATGCATGTTTCCTTAAAAAAGATCCACCACATGCCATTTGAAATTATTTCTCATTGGAAATGAATTGCAACTAGCTCACATTTCATAAACTGTGACCGTTCTTATGATAAACTGTGAAATAATTCAGACAATTTCAAATATTACAAATGTACTGAACACATGAGAATGAGGCGTCATTTCCAATAGACAGGGACTGTCTCTTATGTTCTCCTGACTGACTGTAATTACGATAAGATTAAAAAAACGGCAATTAATCATTGGTATATTGCTTGTTGTCCATACTGAACAGGCGGTGTCGACGTAGTGTAAACATTGACATTTCGCACCCTTGTTATTTAAACTACTTTGAATACGCAAGGTAGGGTATAACGCTGAAGCCATGAGTGTGACAACAAACCAACTTAAGTAATTATAAGGCTGTGGATAAAACTTACACTGTACACAATCCAGAAGAATTGTAACTTCCAGCAATTGGACCCCAAACCATGACGCCCATTAGATTTTAGTTTCAAGAGATATGCACTATCGATTCCAACTGACATGGTCCAAATTCGGCCTCGGATAGGATCGAACTTTGTTCAGTCGGCTTTGGGTGGATTCGGATCGGCATTTGTAAAACTTTAGATCAAAGCATTTGAATTATCTCACCCATAATCTGAAAAAATCTATCCCTGTTTTCGCCTGTTTAAAATGCATAAATTTGTCTGCTATCCCTAGTGATTTGTTATAGCAGGTATGTGTTAACCAATTTCCAACTGCAGTGTGCACAACATGTATTTAACTTTATAATACATGTTCCAACCTCCAGGATGTAAACTACAAGTACACAGTTTGACAGTAAGGTTGGTGGAATTTGCAAGTCCTACACCAGCCTCAATGTTGAAAATTACTGAGGTCCCAAGATCTGGGCTTAAGAATCCCATCAACTTTTGCACACAATTCAAATGAATACACTGTTAACGTATTAAAAACAGATATAAAAACCTTGCAGGCTGCATGTACATGTATATTTCATCAACATTTGCATAATGTAAATCTGCTCAAGAGGAATCTGAGAAAAAAATCACAAACAAGACCTAAAATCTTTAATAGGGGACTAAATGCGAAGGTTAATTTGAAGGTACGTTGCGTGACATAAAATTGGGTTTTGTACTGGAGCCGAAACGTTGTTGAAACTTGTCCATTTGTCTTTGTAAGTGAAACCAAAGACCCGAGGTAATACTTGAAAGACCAAGACTCTTACCCATACCTCGAGTAAACCATGGACTAACGTTGGAGGTCTCCGTTCAATGGGTAGGGTAAAGCTTCAAGAGCTGGCTTTGGAGATGGGCCCTCCATATTCCAAATTAGAATGGCACAACTGCCGGTTGGAAGGTGCTCTAACAAATTGATTATCTACAAGAGGCAGGGGGAGGTAAAATAAATCTCATAATTTAAACAAAAAAATTTAATCTTCATTTTCAACTAATTACATGTATTTGAAATTGGTAATTTTAAGAAAAACACTGGCAGTAATGACTGGATGAAGTGCCTGCAAAGGAAGTGCGGCATGTGGCATCTTCAAAATTGTCAACCCGTGGTAAATGCAGCACAAAATACGAGTAGGCCTATCGTATAATTACACTACAGTCTTACGACGGTATTCTGTTCCGTTTTATTTCAAACATTCGGACAGAACCATACCTCCGACGTGTTCCTGGAAGTGTATCCGCTGCTTCCAACAAATCCGGCCCCTCTTGATTCTCAATTGTTTTCAACACTCGGTGCCCATCATGCAGGTCCACACGCCGCGGTGGATGAGGATGACACACAAAATAAATTGAGGTTACCTCATGAACATAACGACATGAATGAAGACCAACTTCAGGCATGCACGCAGTGTGTGTAAGTTTCTGTTCAGGGAAGCGGAAACGAGAGTGACGTCACTTTGATTTAAACCGCGCCCACTCAAGTGGTTCGTGTGTAGTCACTTGTCGGCATTACATAGGCAACTAGGAAGTTTCCAACGTTTCAGTGGAACCATCAAAGTACAGTGCTGTCCTTGCTCTATGATTTGGCTGACCTGTCTTAGACAGTTGGATAAATTTTGCCACAGACTGAAGGTTGGTTTTCACAAAAGTAATGTCAAAATAACTGAAAAGGCTGAAGTTAAAGGTGGTGTATACCATTTTTTTTTTGTCGTAATTTCACAAGATTACGAAAACAGAGAAAACAAAGCAAAATCAGACTGGAGATGTACACCTCAGTATTTTCGCTGGAAATTCAAGATTATGGCCAGAAAATCATTTTTTGTTTCAATAATATGGGGGTTAGCCATGAATTTTTTTTCTCCTAGTGCAGACAAAATCTACTATTGCCGAGAATGCCGCTAAAAAGGTTGTAAATCTGCACCTGAACCGTTGTACAAAATAATTTTCCTTTTCACAGTGACGACAGCGCCCCCATTTGGCGATACAGTCTTTGCATCACTGTTACAGTGGTCAATCGGCAGTAACCACACACAGAAAAGTTTGAATTATGTTGTTCGCTTTAAGTTTTTCGCAACCTGGTTAAAAAGAAACTAACCATCCTTTTCTTCAAGACATTTGGAAAACATATATTGCCGTATTAATTAACCAATAACATGAGGGTAATTTCTTCCATGTTGGCCGACATGACCCTGAAGAGAGACATTTCATTTAAGGTGCGTATCTGATCCGACGTCTGTCTACTTGAAGCGTCGATAGGGCTCCAGAATTTTTTTATCTACTTTCGCACAGAATTACGATATTTGCTAAATAAATGCATCGATCTCCTATAAACCACGAAATTAACACATTAATGGCTACACAATGTTGCAATGTGATAAACGTGCAAGAAAGAAATCGACCCGAGCCTTTATGTTCATCTTTTGCGATAAAAGAAAATAAAAACTTAACGAAACTCTGACAAATGTAGTTTAGAGGAAAATAAACAACCCATGAGCTTCGTTTTACATTTTTGTATATTAAACATTTATGTACAATGTCAGAGAAAGCTGACAACAGAGAAAGATTAAACATCTTACATATTTCAAACACTTAAACAGGTAATCCTTCTCAATTAAAGATTTCGTTATTTACAAGAAAATAGTTAACGGCGTAACGTTACTGACATTTTGCCGTGTCTGTGACATATGATATGGGTATATCATGAATATTTGGCTTTCTAAGCCATTAAAAACGGCATTTGTCGACACAATGTCATAACGAACATGCTGATGATGAGTTACCAGTAGCGTATGGGGGAGACACGCGAGCCCTGTGGCCAAACCCATTGAGTGCGCCCTCCAGAAAATACGTCATCTAAGTCCGCCCCCTAATGTACGTACCCAATTTACGCCAAATGGCATGTTCTGTTCAGTTTTAAGATTCCAGTATTTTCAGTATCAGCTCAGAAGGCGATTAACACAAGCAGGGGGTCAGTAGGCTTTCACCCTTTCAAAAGATTCAGCCTTGTCATAATGTTCCTTTTAGAATTATCCATAATTAGGAATGCAATTGTTTTGAATTCAGTCATGAGAAAGCATGAAATTAATCAAAAAGCATTACCACACATATTTCAATTAAACAGTAGTTTTTTCATAGATTTCAAGAGCTGTTGAAAGCTGGCAAGCTACATCACTGAAACTATATAGTAATCAGTTTACCACATTCAGTAGAACTTCACTGAAACCATTAATTGTAAATAATGTTGTAGCTGTAACAAGTGTGACCAGTTTAATTGTTAAAATTTAGATTCAGGCTTTTAAGACCTAGAAAGTTACTCCAAATATATAAGCACGGGGCAATACACAAGGCATGCGTAGGCGTAAAAAGTATCTCTGAGATCTATGTTACATAATTGAGTACAAGAAAGCAACACTGCTCATTGTTAAAGATTCCTAACGTCTTCATGGCAGCAACGGAAATAACTATTAATGCATGTCAAAATTAGCAATTGTCAAGATTTTCAGTGCATTCCAGAATGATTTAATCACTGTTTACTGTTGATTTTTGTGAAAGTTTTATTTAGGACTTGCTTCATTTGCTGAATTGAACTTCGTCGACGATTCTGCTTACTACCTTCCATTGCCTTACGTCTCCGAACCTCACGAAACAGTTCATGGAAAGCCTCTTCGATATTGTCGTCACCTCGACAAGCAGACAACTCATAGAATGCACATGCTAACTCCTGCGAGAGACGTTCGCCCTCATCTGTTGACACTGTGCGCATGTGATCAAGATCACATTTGTTAGCAACAATTACCATGGAAACATTTCTTGCTTTTTTAATTTCATCCAGATAGTTCTTTATGGTGATAATATCTTCATAGCTTTTTCTGTCTGTGACGCTATACATAAGTAAAAAGCCTTCACCCCATCTTATGTGACCTTCTCTGTTGATAGTATCCTCCTGTTGATAGAACAAAATCACCCCGATTTAGATTCTTCGTGATTGTCATGGTTTACTTCAAGTCGTAAGGGTGCAGTCTACTTATTCAAGAAAGAATTTCTGGCCGGCTCATTAGCATTAAAAGTGCCCCCACAGTATCTTTTGAAAAGAAGGAGATTGTATAGCCCCCAAAATGGTAAGATTGTGTAAATCCCTGAGTCTTTGGGCTTTCTCTCTGACAGCATAATGGCTAAAAACTATGGCCATAAGTGCCCAAGAAAGTTGAAGGTTGTCACTTGAAAATAATGGCTGCAAGTAGACTTCGGAAAATCACTTTGCGGGGGGGTTGTTTGTGGGAGTAACTCAAAGTGTAATCGGTAAACACACAGAAAATTAATTTAAATAATTTAACGTGTGTTTCAGATACCTCAGGGATGTTGGTACGCATGTTATTGGACCCGAACAATGCCGATTATTTTTACTCTGTTTTCAATGGGGCTTGAATTAGGGGACTACACCCATAAGTGATAATCTTCCACGAAAGTCGATAGGTTTATTTGCCCGTTTACTACCATCGTCAGTGCAAAGTCTCCATTTATATTAAAAACACTTCCCGTGCGCATGATAATGCACACGTCTCTCATCTTACAAGCACATTCCCGAAAATTACTGTCTTTTCTTTGAATTTTGTCTCATTTACGGCCAACACTCTAATCGTGAACAGTACAAAATGGACGGACTAGTCACAATTAATCGACACTATACAATAAAGCCAATACCAGAGAATTCTACATTTAAACAAGCCATGTTAGAGTAATACCTGTTGTAAAGGTCATGCATTTCTCCAAATCTTCTCATTACTAAAATTACTAAAATCTAAAGTGATGAAAAACATTATTTCCTAGCCACAGCTGATGTTTCCACTAGATTATATTCTTACAGAGTCAGAATAATAAACCTGTGAAATGGCGCTCAACAAGGTCGACAGCAGACCGACAAAGATTCATTGAATACACCCCATGGATTCGATAATTATCTTCGGTTGGCATAACCCTTTTGTATGCTGCCTTACCCACTTCGCCCCATTTGTTGACTATCATAGCGAGGATAATTCAGTTTGTACGTCACAATTCTTACTATAATACATGTACATTGCTGTGTTAGAGTGTCAGAATAAAGCGATACATAAACTAATCATGGTATAAATTATTAAAAAAAATCAAGAGCAAATTATAAAAAGATCATATTCTAATTAACCATTTTACCAGAGGTAGTGTTAAAAGAGCATGGCACAGACAGCAATGCCGCATGATTGGGCCAGCGTCACACATAAGTGCCCCATCACCCGTCTTTCAAGAAACATCAGGGAACTTGTAGTTCTTCAAATAACCCCCTCTGATTGCCCTACACAATATGTTTATTTTTCCAGCTCTATTCCGTCTTAGGAAACCGGATTATCGTTTCTAGTTAAGGTATAAACACTGTCAGACTCATTTACTTTAGTTACAGTCTGACATACATGAGGAACATGTAAGTTCTTCACTTTGTTAAACAACTTTAGTTTTTCATTCAAGTTTTTCGTTTTCATAGTCCCATTCCGTACAAAACTTCAAATCAGTTACAGCAAAAACGGTTATTCCTAGTTACTGGTAGGCCCTACAGAATTTTGAGTACATTAATAATGCAATGCTTTTCCGGAGGACACGGGGAGCAGGAGCTAAACAGGAGTATTACAAGATTGTAATATTCTATTTCGAAGAATGAAGTAGTTTTGGGCGGGGTACAAACTACCAAAAAGGCAGCGTGTGACTAGCATTACTGTTTATTTAAAAAGGGAAACA